AAAATTAAATATGGGTAAATTAGGAAAGATCTTGACAAAACTTAATTTTTCTTAATCCGCGTGAAAAACGAAACAAGCCTATATAATCGAGACGGATGGAGTAATAAAATATGCTTTTTAAAAATAGATAGTCTCTTGGAGATGCTCTAAGCCACTTAATTAAGTGCTTGTTTGGTAGGGATTTTTGGGGGGATAATTGATTTTAGGAGAGTGATATGATAGGAAATGTGTAGTTGAAAAAGAAGAAAAAATTATTGATGTGATGAAAAATATTATTTTATTGAAAAATTTGTGGTTGAAAATGAGAATTGATTTACTGTAGAATATGAGAATAAAAAACAAAAAGGCCCTAAGTTTGACTTTATAGCCGTGCTGATGTCTTCATTAACAAAACTAATGTTAATTGATTGTAAATTGAAAAAGAACTTACTTACAAATTACAATTAGTATGTGAAGTTACTTACAAAAGAAATGGAATTTCCTTGAGGGCACTCCTATCCTATGTGCTCAAGTTATTAAATTTTAAGATAGTCGCTGGCTATTTATCAAAATGAAAGAGAGGTGGGGTACATTGGAGAGTTATGTGGATGTTATTTGATTGTAAATTGAAAGTACATCAAAATATGTTATTTATAGAAAAAATTGTATTGTCGATCTTCAATCTCTAATAATAATAATAAAGAAATTGTTCTTTTAGTTATAGTTGCACAATCAGTCCTCATGACAACACATGTTTAATTCATTTTCTTGTGATCTGATATGTCTGACTTTATTAAGTTAAATTTTGTTTCTCAACTTGAGCTATCGCCAAAAGTTTGAAGTGAGATATGTTTCAATAGGGTCATGTGACAATTCAACGAAAATTAGAACCAGTTTCACATTAAGGGTTGATGTGCTAAAAGAGTGGAGACTAATTTGCACCTTGTCAAATATTGATGACCCATAGCACAATTTTCGTATTATTTATAGATAATGAAAGAACCTTGAGATACAACCGAATTAAGAATTTAAGTCAAACGTAGGTTGATGGTTTTGGTTCACGTTAAATTTACTTTTTTGAAACTAATAAAATTGACAAGTTCAAACACGAAAGCAACCTAGTAATGTCTTGTACAACATGAAACTATATTGGAATATACATTGAAATTTATTTTCACTACCAACAACCTTTTTATGGCCTCACATAAAAGGGGTTTGGTATTTGTGAAAGATTGTTTGGGATTCATACTTAACCTTTTTTGTCTGTTTCAAGGTTTCTTTATTTCAATTGGTTATGGTGACCTCTTTACCTCCAAATTTTCTGTTATTTTCTTGTCAAGTTTGTAAGTTGTTAGCTTTGAGGTGTATGCCCAGAATTAAAATGCACCAAATATTCGATACTTTGGGCATGCATACTAACTTTCATAAGTTCTTAATTCGAAATGATTGCGGTCCGTTATAGATAAACTTGTGATTTGTTGTTTTCGCATTAAATTGTTGACACCTAAATATATTAAATTTTGTTCGTAAATGTGAAGACGTTGTTTTAAATGTGATGTCACTTGTAATGTATTTTGCTGTATTGATATCTCTCTATTTACTAATAAGAACTGTTGTAATGACGTGTCACAAATTTGATTGTATCCAAGATATCTCATCACACAAGGACAAGAATCCATTCAATTCCGTTTTTGATTCGTTTCTGGATTTTGTTTTTAAGTTCAAAATTTTGATTTGTTTTTCCTCTTTTCGGAGAAAATTCATTTAAAATAAGGATGCATTTGGATAATAATTAAATATGCTGAGTTGAACATAATCAAACAAAATTAAAGAAAAAAACGTGTGATAAATTACTCTGAACAGTTGTAGAGAAACTAGGCTATCTCTTGCCTAGAAAAAAAGAACAGGGGCCCGGGGGGGGGGGTCGAGGAGGACCCACCTCATTAACCCCCCGCCCCCGCCCACGCCCACGCCCACCCCCATCTCACATTTGCTCTGCTAGGCAGAAACATATGTTATGACTTCTAAAATTTTAATACAATCTAGTGAAATGACATGCTAGATTTTGCACTAATCGTATTGTAAACCATGCGTTATTTATGACCTCTAATATATTTGTTCGTGTCTTTATTTGTTTAAATTATATTTCTGTCATCAGGATCGGTTGATGTCCTAGGCAATTAATGATTATGAGGCCCCCAACACCATTTTTTATGAGTAATGTTATCTAACATCACTGTAACTACACCACAGTTTAGGTGGCTCTATATTATAGTCTCAATGAAAGGTAGATTTATGTTATAGTCTAAATAGTATTAATCTTTTTTTCTTTTTTTTTTGAAATTTTAGCAATACTTAAATATTTAAAAATGTCATTTTTATATTTTAAATGAACGCTTTGTACAATCTAAGAGATACAATAGCGAAATAAAATTATGAAAAAAATGAAGTTAAAATTTTGTTTTAACTAATCCAATCAACAAACCCAGATTAGTTGGTCAATTAACAAGCATTGTCGACTCTTGGTACAATGCATTTTGTTGGTCCAAAGGAATGCACTGGAATTAATGTATTGGGTCTGGCTATTACGAGTAGTATCATACATAAAAAAAATTTCAAAATGGATCTAGCCATAATTAAATGAGGAAATTACAGAAATCTAGGTGTTTAGAGATCACAATTCAAAAATCAGGGTTGGAGTTTCATTATTCATAAATCAGGTATCAATTTAATAATTAAATATTAAACATTTCCCTCAATTGTTCTAAACCCTAATCATTTTTCATTTCCTTTTCTCTTTCTACCAACTTCCTTCTCTCTCTATATTTTCTCCCTTCTCTCTATCGCAACCATATACACCCGTCTTCTCTTCTCCTCAATCTCTCC